AAATTATGAATAAATTTCTTATTTACTTATGTGTCGGGGTAAACGTGTCTTATGACGGTGAAGGGCTCTTGATCCACAGAACTAGAGGTACTCTCCCTTTCCATGAATAGAATATGATTGCCTTCCGTTCCTAAGGAACTTTATGATCATTTTGGGTTTAGCACTTCCTCAAGAATTCATAATAATAATAATAATAATAATAATAATAATAATAATAATAATAATAATAATAATAATAATAATAATAGCAATGAAAAGAAGAAAATGAAGAGGAAGAAGAAACAGGTGGAGAAAGAGAAGAAGGATAAGGTTAGGAGAAGGAAGAGAAGACGAAGGAAGAGGAGGAGTAGAAGGAGGAGGAGGACGAGGAGAAGAAGACGAGCAAGTATAATATAAAGAGAAGAAAGTTCCGTGCTACACAGAATTTTGTCTTGCTGTAGTTCCTGGTAGCAGGTTAATGAAGTTTGTGTGTTGTTGATGCCGGAGACGCCTGGTAGTTTCAGCAACCTGGTATGTATGTACCCGGAGTCTGTATGTAGTCGCGTATGCAACATTGCAACATTTTAATATGATATTCTTGTGTTGCACAAGCTTCTTTTTAACTTACACCTTGTAACTTTCACCTTGTAACTTACACCTTGTAGCTTACATCTTGTAACTTAAAACACCTCATCAAGACTTACAAATTTCATGATGGGGACGGGGGATGGGAGAAGAGCTAAATCCATGGGAATTGTGCAGTGTCTTGCAGAATGGGAGGCAATCGGATTTGATACGATTACTGTTACCTTAATAATACGTAATACCGACAAATTGATGAATAAAACACTTTTATAACTCCTGGGTAGCTTTACTGACGGTAAGGATACCAAGATCTTGCATGTATCTCTAATTCTTCGAAAGAAGATCCCTTCACTGGCGTCAAGGCACTTACTCTTAAGGGATCTCATCCAGAACGAGTCTTGAAAAGGCGAAGGTGATCTTCAAGACGAGGCTAATTTCCAATCATTCACACAGCCTAGCTCCAATATCGACATATTCTCAGGTAAATTGTCCTCCAGTCAGAGCGATAGATTATCCCCGAATTACCGTTTGTTGACATCTGTCCGATCTCAGGGGCTACGGAAGTTTAAATTTTTTATTCTCGGTAGGTTGGGTTCGGTTATGTTAGGGTAAGTTAGGTTAAGCAAGGGAACCTGTGTAACTGACTCATTACTTATTATTCCTCTATTGTGTGTTGGCAGCAGGTGCTGCTGATGTTGGTCATCGTGTTTTCTAGGAGACGGAACCAGGAGCTGGACTCCCGAGTACAGTACTCAGTTTCAATAGAGATTACAGTGCTTAAAATCCTTACAGAGTCAATTTAAAGACCCTTAAGAAGGGGAGGTATTAGTTTTTATTATCATTAAGACGACTTCTGATTGAGGTCTTCGAGATTATATATATGTATATATATATATATATATATATATATATAATATATATATATATATATATATATATATATATATATATATATATATATATATATATGTCGTGCCGAATATGTAAAACTGGTCAATTAGCAAGAACTCATTTAAAATTAAGTCCTTTCTAAAATTTTCTCTTATACGTTTAAAGATATATTTTTTTCATTAATGTTGATGTAAAAAAATTTAATTTTGCACCAGAAGAATCTTAGAAAACTTACCTAACCTTATTATAACAAGAGCAATTTATTTTAGCCTAACCCAACTAAATATATTTTAGATTTGTTTACAGTAATTTAATACTAAACAAACACAGTGAAATATATTTTTTTCGTTAGGTTCAGAATGATTTTAGCGAAATTATTGCATACACAAATTTTCACTTGTCCTATATGGAAAGATGAGCGTTGCTATTTAAGCCAAGATCGCAAATTCTGCCTATTCGGCACGACATATATATATATATATATATATATATATATATATATATATATATATATATATATATATATATATATATATATATATATATATATATATATATATATATATATAAAATATATATATATATATTTTTTTTTTTTTTTTTTTTTTTTTTTTTTTTTTTTTTTTTTTTTTTTTTATAGGATGGGGTCCACCTCTGGTGTAAATTGTGGGACCCATAGCCTCGGAGAAGTGGATAAAAAAGGCTTCAAGGAAGAATATTTGGATTTCTTCCTGAAGCCATTTGAATATTCCACTTCCCCTACCACCCCATCTTTTAAACTATTTTTTTTTTACCAATAGGAATATTTTATTACATAATATATATATATATATATATATATATATATATATATATATATATATATATATATATATATATATATACATATGTATATATATATATATATATATATATATATATATATATATATATATATATACATATATATATATATATATATATATATATATATATTATTTTTTTTTTTTATTATCACACTGGCCGATTCCCACCAAGGCAGGGTGGCCCGAAAAAGAAAAACTTTCACCATCATTCACTCCATCACTGTCTTGCCAGAAGGGTGCTTTACACTACAGTTTTTAAACTGCAACATTAACACCCCTCCTTCAGAGTGCAGGCACTGTACTTCCCATCTCCAGGACTCAAGTCCGGCCTGCCGGTTTCCCTGAATCCCTTCATAAATGTTACTTTGCTCACACTCCAACAGCACGTCAAGTATTAAAAACCATTTGTCTCCATTCACTCCTATCAAACACGCTCACGCATGCCTGCTGGAAGTCCAAGCCCCTCGCACACAAAACCTCCTTTACCCCCTCCCTCCAACCCTTCCTAGGCCGACCCCTACCCCGCCTTCCTTCCACTACAGACTGATACACTCTTGAAGTTATTCTGTTTCGCTCCATTCTCTCTACATGTCCGAACCACCTCAACAACCCTTCCTCAGCCCTCTGGACAACAGTTTTGGTAATCCCGCACCTCCTCCTAACTTCCAAACTACGAATTCTCTGCATTATATTCACACCACACATTGCCCTCAGACATGACATCTCCACTGCCTCCAGCCTTCTCCTCGCTGCAACATTCATCACCCATGCTTCACACCCATATAAGAGCGTTGGTAAAACTATACTCTCATACATTCCTATAGATATATATATGCAATAAGATCACAGTAAACAGGTGATTTTAAAATATGCAAAACAACCACTGTGAAAGAGTAGTGAAATTCTAAGCGCTTTCGTGACTGCTCACATTGTCAAGGAACTATGGAAGTAATACAAACAAAGAAAGGCAATTAAAGGGCTTAGACTACACCTCACAGTCAACCCCCACAACAAAGAAACACCTGACGCGCGACAATACCGGACTCATAAGAAAAGAGGAACACTGCAGTAGGTCCGCTGGTCCAACTAGACAGGTCCTCCCGACATCCCACTAACAAAATATTCTACCCAATAAATAAGGTTTATTATTTATCCAATGTATTATTAAACTCTAACCAAATTTTATTAAGGAAATATTCATATTATTTTCAAAACTGATTTTTATGAAACAAGATTCAATTATATTTCTGTCAACCATGGGCTTGCTTGATACAACTTTCTCAACTTTTTGAAAATCAATTGGATGGTTAAAATCTCTCACATGAATAAATAGAGCATTGGAATCTTGCCAGCTCTAATGCTATATTTATGTTGTTTTAATCTAAGTTCGAGATTTTTACCAGTTTGACCGTAATAAACTTTATCGCAAATTTTACAAGAAATCTTATAGACACATCCGTCAGCATTTTGGAGGGAATTCTTTATCAAAAGTTTTTTTTACTGTATCAAGATTTTTAAATACAACTTTAATATTATAAGTCTTAAGAAGAGAAGGCATATCAACCAAGTTTTCATGATAAGGGAGAACCAACATATTTTTAGTTGAATAAGGTTGGTTGTCCCTTTTTGGGTTGTAAAAAGTATTTCTAGCAATTTTAAATGATTTATCAATTACATTTCTCGGGTATTTCAGATCAATGGCTATTTCATAAATTTTGGATATTTCTTCATATATGAACTCTGGACTACAAATACGTAAAGCTCTCAAAAACATTGATGAAAAAACAGACAGTTTAACTCTCTTGATGGGAAGAATAATAGTGTACATAGGAACAGTTAATTGTAGGTTTTCTGTAAATTTTAAATTTGAATTCATTATTACTCTTAATAATTAAAACATCTAGAAAAGGCAATGAGTTATTTTCCTCAAACTCAACAGTAAAGTTTACAGAATGGGCTAAACTATTTAATTTGCCAAGGAAATGGTGTATATCTACATTTTTGGGCATAAGACATAAAATATCATCAACATATCTGAACCATTTTGCTCTATTAGGGAGGCTTGTGTTAAGCAATCTTGTTTCAAAAAATTCCATGTATAGGCTACTAAGAACAGGTGAAAGAGGATTTCCCATTGCCATACCAAATTTCTGAGTGTAAAACTTATCATTAAATACAAATTTTGCATCAACAATGCAAAGTTTAATAAGTTTAATGATGGTAGGAAATGGCAATGGTAAATCATGGACTAATAAAAACACAAACCAGGTAATCCAATTAGACCAATTATTAGCTCCATAGGATCAGTTTCGTATAAATTGTCCAAATGTCTTGTTAACATTTTGAGCCCTATTGTTGGTAAAATTTCTAACTTTAATGTTAAAAACAACTTAGATTTAGTTGATAAATTAAGCTCCTTGACTATATGCATGTATGTGAGGAAACAAACACCCCACTAATTACAGGAGTTCGAGTCCCTCTGAATTCTTCTGTTTATTCAGTGACAGTCGTTTATTACGACTGAGGAGATGATATAGTAGTCTCCATTGGTGCCGCTAACATAAACACGTCACAGATGCTGTTTGAAATAAAACATCTTACTGTACGCTTCCTGGTTGAATGGTAAGAGCGGTGGGTATACTAAATGTAGACACACACACACACACACACACACACATACACATACTCATCAACACTCACCAACAACATGCAGCTGCACTCTGGCGTTGTGTGTAGGGGAAGACTGGAAGTCGAGGCGACAGCGGTACTCGCCATGATCCCGGAACTCTACGTTACGCACCACTAGCGTCCACCTCCATCCCTGGTGCTGGTGAATATCCGCACGACCCCGGAAGAAGTCCGAGGAGCGGGAACTTCCTGCCCCTTTCTGCTGACCCCGCGGTCTGGAGTCCACACTGAAGAGAGAATTGGACATAAGAGAAAGGGATTATTGGATCCAAAAGGAGCTCTGCCGACAATAGTGAAGGAAAGACATGGGGAGAGAACAAGCTTTTGTTGAGAGAGTTTCACTCTGAGTAGTGGTTTATAAAGTCATGATGAACTTTGTATAGACCAAAATGTTGTTTTATTAGAAACTAATTTTTAATTGTGTCTTTTCTTGAAAAAAAAATAGATTTTTGTCAGTAACAATGGATCCAGTGATCACAATGTGCAAAGATTTGAGTACTGTATAGTGGTTAAACTAGAAAGAAGACAAGGAGCGACAAATAATAAAGGAGACTACAGAAGAGGAGAGTATACATGAATGGCAAAATTTCTCCAGGGAATCAATTCTTAAAACAATAAAGCGGAGGTCCTGCTGAAAAAGTAACATAGGTTAAAGAATGGTTCGCAACATTCACAAGATTAAATACTGAATACAAAGTGTATGGTTTAATCAGAGCTGTAGATAGCACAAGGCATGAAGCAAACTTTCGTTCTTAAAGCACTTTACATGAAGGAGGAACAAGAAATTAGGAATAAAAATGCTAGGATGAAAGGGAAGCAAAACGACAGTATAAAAATGATAACGATAAATACATATTGTGATTGGAAATGTTTCACAAGTACATAAGAATACGGATAGTAACTTTAAATACCAAGTATTGAAAGTGAGGAGATTGAAATATAAAGGAAAAGCATCAATACTACGATGAAGATAATAGGAGAATCACAAACTATTCATTGAGAAAACTGGGATAGTAATGAAAAGAAGGGACGAAAGCACTGACCAGAGGCTAACTACTGAAAGAGATGGTCACAGTTAAAGTCAGGGGTCTAACAATCACACCTCAACTAGTATTACAGTAAGATGAATAACACTTTCGTGAACCCATAACGAAGATTTACAGTTAGTCACTTGAGATGGGGCTCTTACAGAACAGAGTTGCACCAGTAACGTGTATACTGTCCTAAGTTCCGCAGAAGATAATCGAGATTATTGGTTACCTAGGGAGGAAGAGCTTCGTTTCAGACAACCAGTACATGTTTAGAGAAAACAAGTCTTCCTCACGAACTTACTGGAGATCTAAGACAATACAATAGAGATCAAACAAGAAGACAAGAGGGGATTGACCGCATTTTCTTGGACTGAAAGACACCTTTGGTACCACATGTTGATTTACAGACTAACAATAGACAGAATAACATAAGAAATAGAGTTCTGGTTGATTAAGGAATTTTAACAATTACAATAACATAATGATAAAGGAAGGAGTATAAGAATAGGAAAAAGTAATGAATTAAATTCCTGTAGGAATCAGTAGCGGAACTTTAACTATTCATAATATGCAAATTACCACCCATAGAGAATTAAATCCTACATATCGTTGTTCAGGTGTGATGTAAAGCTGATGAAAGAAACACAGTTGGAGATAACAGAGATAGGCCAAAGGTCTTTGAAAGGCTGCAGGGGTGGCCAAAACAGTGATCCCTGGAGCAAAACTCTAATAAGAGCAAGGCCATACCAAATACACAGAAAGAAAATACCAAAGGCTAAATATAGTCTCGATGACTATAAACCGGAAATATCGTGCAAGAAAAAATCTGGGAGTGATTATCAAAACAGAGCATTTTTGGCAGAGGACCTCACAAAATTCCCAAGTCATGGTCAAATTCCCCAGAAGACCTTTTCAAACATTTACATGACATATATCATGAATCTCAAAGTACGTAGCGCCAAGAAGGTTTATCAACACGAATCCTGGGACTGAGCGCTGTGAACCACGAAGAACTAACGATACTGAACCTGCTGACTTTAAAAGAGAGAAAATCTGTGGAAAAACAAAACTGTGTTGTACAAGTTACTTTGAGGATATAATAAATTTATAATAATTTTAATAATAATAATAATAATAATAATAATAATAATAATAATAATAATAATAATAATAATAATAATAAAAGATGGGACAAAACTAGTAGCGTTCAAAATCATTTATAAATAATCTCAAATAAGTGATTTCTTCCGGCGACAAAACCTGACTACAGTCAACGGGACATATATGGCGTTCGGAACCAGGAGCTACAGCTCATCTATCATACGCACACCACGCGCGTAATGCTAGATAAGTAGAGTCACAGACACACACACACACACACACACACACTAAGAAAGAAACCTGCGTAAAAAATCGATAAGACGAGCATTAAAAACTATGAGAAATACTTCCAATTAGCCCTAATAATTTACCTGAAAACTGGAGTCTTTGTGCCGTTCTTGTACCAGAGGACCAGTATCACGGGGTCTGCAGGCTGTGACGTCAAGTTGCATGGCAGGTGCACAGTCTGGCCTCGTACCGCGTATACTGCCACCAGAGGCGCTGTAGACAATAAAAAAGGGTTATTGCAGGCTCATAAATTTCCCAACTGCGCACATGGTATATATACCGAGAGAAGTATTTATTTCTCGGTGTATAAACACATATAATGTGCTTGTATACTGAAAATTAACTGTTTTCCCTATTTTAGGGATTGAGGTTTTATGACTGTTAATGTACAGGCGAATTGCAGTTATAATGATCCATGTGCAATCGATAGGGATTAAACCTAGCAAACTAGCCCTATGACTATGGTTAGTTTAAGTTTAATCCCTCACCATGAACCTTCAGCAAAATACTATATGTTGAAAATGGAATGGCTACCGGGAACTGTAACGGCACAGAAATAATATCCATCTACCCATCTGATGTCCTAAGCCACCTACCATTACCGCCTGCAAATACTACCCGCGCGAATGCAGGCTTCACCATTACCCATTAGCTATACGAGCATGCAACACGAAACAAGTTACTTATAGTTAATTAAACGACGTATACGACCATCTCCAGTGTTTGCACAGACATAACAAAGCATCACAATCGGCACAGTTAATAATAAGTAATTAAGCGAGACCACAGTAACATCAAACGGGATATTCACTGGGCGAGATATTGAGTTGGTTGTCTAAGTAATGTTGGCAGGAAGGCTGATAATGAGGTCACTAGCACATAACACCTCAGGGTCGATGAGGAAGAAGGTTCACCTTCTGGAAGGAAAAAAAAAGGGAAGGAACAATGAACAAGGGACAATGGACAAGGGACAAGTTGCAAGGGGTGGCAGAGAAGAGAGAGAGAGAGAGAGAGAGAGAGAGAGAGGAGAGAGGAGAGAGAGAGAGAGAGAGAGAGAGAGAGAGACGAGAGAGATAAGAGTCAGATGAGAGAATGAAATTGCTGTCTCACATGGCTCAACTTCATCCTGTTCCTTATCTGAATAAGTCTCATAGATAATAAAAAGCTTTCAATGAGAGATAGATGAAAGAGAGAGAGATAGAATTTGATAAAATAAAAAGCTTTCAAATTGTGGAGACGAATAGGAAGACAGAACCACTATCGTCTTACAATTTGTGAAGGATAGCAGTCTCATATTGTTCGACCGAACTTTAAGCTACCCAGTCAATATACTACTTACTGTCTCTCACTCTTAATATTTACGCTGTAACTGAATGGAGTCTGATCAATTACAGTTTCAACTGATGACAAGTTTACCAGCAACTAAATAAATTTCAATTTCTCATGCTCAATTCTGATAATTCTGTTTGCATTTTGAACATTTTAATCTGCTTTAATCACTCATTAAAATTTACGTATTCTTTTTCAAATGACCACTGTATGGGTCTATAAAGCTTTGCGAGTTCAGACGAGGTCGAAAGGAAGTACTCAAAGGTGAGTATAATAATAAAGAAAGTAAGTGCAGTAATGATTCAATGTCATTAAAAAGACTAGTGAAGTATGCGCCAGTGCCTGCATAGAACATTCTTAATTTAGAATCTGCTTTTAATCACCTCATTAAGAATTAGTATTTTTTATTTCAAAATGAGCCAATCTAGTATGGGTCATAAAGCTTTGCGAAGGTTGCAGGACGAGGTCGATAAAGGGAAGTACCTGCAAAGGTGAGTTTATGAGATAACAAGGAAAGTGAAAGGTGACGTAATAAGTCAATGTCAGTTAAAAAAGAACCTAAGGTGAAGGTATGCGCCCAGGTGCCGAAAAGAGAAACCGTAAATGAATTTAGAATGCTCTTTGATAAATGGTACAATCAATCAAAAGGTGTTTGATAGGCAACAAGATCTGGAATGTTTCACAGAGAGACGCGCTTTATTGAGGAACGTCTTCTCCTACAACAAATTGTGTCACTTTTGATTAGTCTTTCTACCTACTTCGAAGTGTGTGTGTGTGTGTGTGTGTGTGTGTGTGTGTGTGTGTGTGTGTGTGTGTGTGTGTGTGTGTGTGTGTGCAAACGAAAGATACCCTCTGGTATTTCCGTTCTATTTTCTAGTGTGGCATTTTGTGATATTTGAATCCCTATCATGGGATCCTCTTAGGGACATAATTTATGAATTCATATGAAGTTGAGGGTAGGTCACATGATTTGACTTTTATATCGTCTGCCTTCTTAAGGAGAATATCCATCGTCACCCTCCTGTTGGTGTCAGTTCTTCACTTCCATTTACAAAATCCTGGAGCACAACACCAACACAGCCACTCCGCCAAGCCTGTAATATCAGAATTCAGGAGGACAAGATAATACAGAGGGTGGAGACCCTGCCAGGGTAAAATGCAGAAATGCCACTGTCTAGTGGAAGGGTGTTATTTAGCAAGGAATGTGGTTACGAAACACCTGAAGGTCTCTTGCAAGAGGGTAGCCAGATGATGGTACCTGACTGCAGTTGGTGCGATGAAGATAGTCTAGGTAATTAGATGGTCTCGAAACAGAGTTGGGCCCGGGTTATGTTCTCGGGACTAAGGTAGAAGAAGAAGAGCTCCTCTTCCTGTCTAAAGCTGGTATCTATTAACTAAGTCACTCTTGCTGTTTACAACGTGCAGTACTGAATATTCTTTCTCCGTATTATATTAAGTGTTCGTTGGAATCTCTCATGCACCGTAGTCTGTCTTATAAATAAAAATCTCAAAGTGAAAGTCAAAAGTCATACTGATTTTTTTGCATTTGCTTCAGAGTCACTTTCGTCCATTCTTTCATCACGTAATTGTGGCTTTCTGTTGCCTTCACATTAAACAAATACATTATTCAGTTAAGCTCTTTCCTATCGATACAATGAAAAAAATATACTGAACGAAAGTTCAATGAGATAAAGAGTGTATAATATTCATAAGTATTATAAAAAATTATTAAGATACTCTATTATTCCTTAGAATGCCCCCCAAAAATAAATTCTTTAATACAGGGAGAATGCCCTTTGACCTACTCACTGGGTCCGGTAAAGCAACTCATTACTAAGAGAATCATTTACACACGGGGATACAACTAGTTATGAATGTCCTTCATCACTTCTCCTGACATCCACCAATTTGAGAACTTAATTACCGAGTCGCAGATGCCCCTGCCACTTTGTGATCACAAGTGGTGGGGTCGAACGGACGCTCACAACTCCAATTTTGATGATTTGTGAAGTGTAATTACTGACCACACTCCGCCATTTCATTATTGTACTTCAGTGTAACGTTTCATTAAAAACACTGGTTTATGTTGCCTTGCCACGGAGACTCTCGAGCCATGTGACAGCACTCAGTGCCTCCTCATCGATCCAACACCCACCTCCAGGCATCTTTTTTGTGAGTCAGTGGGCGAGTTACCTTCGCCAGCCACCACCCTCAGCAAAAACATTAGATTACATGTCTGTAATAAATTTTACAACCCCCCTGTTTAGTACCACCTAACGTCGCTGAAATAAGGACGCATTACAAAACTATCAGATTAAATTAAAAGTATCAAAACTGCTACTAAGAAAGTTAATATCCTCAAAAAACCCTGAAATGTGTCTATACAATCAAATGATCAATACGCAAGGTAACAAAAAGATAGCAGGTTGTGCCTAGAATACTATTATGCAGCAATCTCTTCTTTAACCACAGGTCACACGAAGCCTCTAACAATCTCTGCTCTAATCACAAGTCAAATGGCTCCTCTGGTAATCTTTACCTCAACCGCAAGTCATATTATGCCTTTAACAACCACTGCTTTAACCACGGGTCGTACGACGCCTTTAACAGTCTCTGCTTTCACCACGGGTCGTACGACGCCTTTAACAGTCTCTGCTTTCACCACTGGTCGTACGACGCCTTTAACAGTCTCTGCTTTCACCACGGGTCGTACGACGCCTTTAACAGTCTCTGCTTTCACCACGGGTCGTACGACGCCTTTAACAGTCTCTGCTTTCACCACTGGTCGTACGACGCCTTTAACAGTCTCTGCTTTCACCACGGGTCGTACGACGCCTTTAACAGTCTCTGCTTTCACCACGGGTCGTACGACGCCTTTAACAGTCTCTGCTTTCACCACGGGTCGTACGACGCCTTTAACAGTCTCTGCTTTCACCACGGGTCGTACGACGCCTTTAACAGTCTCTGCTTTCACCACTGGTCGTACGACTCCTTTAACAGTCTCTGCTTTCACCACTGGTCGTACGACGCCTTTAACAGTCTCTGCTTTCACCACTGGTCGTACGACGCCTTTAACAGTCTCTGCTTTCACCACGGGTCGTACGACGCCTTTAACAGTCTCTGCTTTCACCACTGGTCGTACGACGCCTTTAACACTCTCTGCTTTCACCACTGGTCGTACGACGCCTTTAACAGTCTCTGCTTTCACCACGGGTCGTACGACTCCTTTAACAGTCTCTGCTTTCACCACGGGTCGTACGACGCCTTTAACAGTCTCTGCTTTCACCACGGGTCGTACGACGCCTTTAACAGTCTCTGCTTTCACCACGGGTCGTACGACGCCTTTAACAGTCTCTGCTTTCACCACGGGTCGTACGACTCCTTTAACAGTCTCTGCTTTCACCACGGGTCGTACGACGCCTTTAACAGTCTCTGCTTTCACCACGGGTCGTACGACGCCTTTAACAGTCTCTGCTTTCACCACGGGTCGTACGACGCCTTTAACAGTCTCTGCTTTCACCACGGGTCGTACGACGCCTTTAACAGTCTCTGCTTTCACCACTGGTCGTGCAGTATTCAGAATATATGCTGCTTCTTCGTCACAATAATAATATAGTTAAGATCATCAAGATAATATCAACACGTTACGAATCTCGACCACAAGGATAATATAGTTAGGATATGTGCTACGCTAAACGCATTATGTTTCCTGATATATTACAAAATTTCAACATTATTATCATTTGTGTTATATTATGCATATATATTTTGGAATTGGTTCATAATATTGCACTATTTATGGTGCTTTGAAACACGCAGAAATTCTCCAATTTTTTCACCTTCAAAGAGCGTTGTATTCATAACACAGTATTTTATTATAAATT